CCCCCCCCCCCCCCCCCCCCGCCACTCGAAGAGCAGGGAGCAGAGCCTGCGGAGCTGGAGCTCCACATCCCCGCCCCGTTCCTGTTGAAGCGACGGACCCGGTGCTGCGCAGCCCGCGCTTTTCCCTTGAGCCCTGCCACGCTGCGAGCAGATGCCTGCCCACCCCCCCACTTCCCACCCCTACCCCCCCAGCCTCTCTGCCTGGAGAACGAGTACTGCCACATTAGTCATCGCTTGCGCTCCCTGCCTGCCAGCATCCCCTGACAGCAGCATCAGTAACAGCCTCTAAAGAAAATTGCATCCATCCCATTTCTTCAAATTTCTTATTTTTAGTCTATTTGCAGGCTATGGGCAGTTGCTCCAACTACCTTCTTTTTGGCAGCTGGAAACATCTGGGTGTAGGTCAGAGCACGTATCAAGCATCTCTCACCAAAAAGGATTGAATATTCCTGACGTTTCTTCTTCTGTTAATTCAGTAGCTTCATTTTCAGACACAAGATAGGTGAGGGCCCCCTACAGACAGGTTACTTCCTTTTTATGTCCCTCTTTTTAAATGTCAAGGTGTTTGTTGCAAAACCTGGAACATTTTCACACAGCTTCATTCACTTCAGGAAAAGCCTCAAAAATTATCTCTCTTCAGTGTGATTTTATACTGTGTTTTAGCCACTTCCACTCCTCTGGGAGGCATTTTCTTCACCACAGTTTAGAGATCTCAGATCAGGACTCCTTTGGGCCCCCGAATTGGTACCATGGAGCAGGCATGCAAAAAAACAAACAAACAAACAAACGAACCATCACCAGCAGGACACATGGCCATCCTTGAGGGCCATCAAGCAGCCTGGTCTGGGGACTGCACCCTTCACCACCACCACCACTGTGCCCTGGGGAAGGACGTGTCTTCTGGGCTTTAAAAGCACAAAGCATTTAGCTATGCTCCCAAATGTGACGGGTGTTTGCTACCCAGCGGGATTCCTGGCAATAATTCAATGGTGATTAATCAGAAGAAAACATTAGGATAACTTCTTTGCTTCTGCATACTTTGTCCTCTGTGTCCTAGTGCCTGCTGGGAGGAGTTTTGGTGCCAATGATTCATCTTCAAATGAATCAGAGGTAGAAAGAAGGAACTCAGGCCTTGTCTCAGCAGAGAGAGCCCTGCTCTGGGAGCAACAGAATATATCTGGGCTTTCCAGGTGGCTTCTGCAGGTCACTCTGTATAGATCTCTCTGATGGAGATCTCTAAGGTCATGTGGAAAAGTTACCACCATAAATGACAGGGATTTTCAGGCTAGGCTTGGATGCCTCTTTGGCTTTTGAAATCGTC